TCTTGACTTGGGGGATTCTGTGTAGCATATTCCGCTCCGTTTACTGCTCCAAGTATAAGTGAGTCAACGCTCTCCGATGTTATTTTCTGCGTCCATTTTGTTTGGTTTATCTCACGTCTCTGTGCCTCTTGCATCAGCACTAGATATTTTTTCTTCACATCTAGATAAACCTTAAATTCGTGTAGCATATTTTCCTCGACGTGCGTATTCTGTGAATTGATACGTTTCGTGAACTCTTCCAAGAACCGTCTTTGTGAGCACGGACGACCTGTAATATACAGAATTCGCTTGTTCTCTCAGTTCTTCGAGGGTATTAGCACACGGAAACTTCTCGATATACAAAGAACGACACAATGGCCATCTCCCTCTCGATATTCTCCCAAATCGGTCAAGGACCGCTTTCAGCACCTTCTCTGGTTACTAGGTTCCTGGGGTTTCAATTCCACGGAATATTGCTTCAGGTGTGATCATTCTGCGGGCACCGGGTTCCGGTACACTGGCAGTATGTTCTTTTACAGCCTTCACATAGCTTTTCCCAACCGCACCTGTTTTTGCATTATTCTCGTTTATGGTTCCAGATGTGGACTTTCTTTTAGCCTTCATTTTATGTTCGTTGAACACAGCTGCTCAGCACCTCGGCACGGCCGAGAAGTATAATAGTAATTATTATCATTATTATTATTCGTATTACGGTCAATGCTGATATAGTTATTGCTGTCGATAAGTAATATTTATTATTACATCAGTAATTACATCAGTAATAATAAATATTACTTATCGACAGCAATAACAGTAATCTTACTCATGTAGGTGGAGATGAAAAACGTCATACCAAAATTAAATTCCTATGCCAAAGTCGAGTATGCTAAATGTATGCTAAAAAACCTCTGTTCATATGGGAAAGTCAGGAATGGCAAAGACTCATCTGGCAAACCAGACACAATAGACCAGCCAGCAGCTGGGATTGATGAATGAGCAATGAAATGGCATCGGTATCTTCTTCTTTGAACTTTTCTATTTGCAACGCAGGGAGGGGGTACTTGACGTTAGGGATATGTGCACACTTATGTACTTACAGTGAAAAGATAGTGGCAAGGAGATGTGATGACATACTATGTTCGTGTCGTGGGTATTGGACGTGTAGACAGGAAGAGACGCTAGAGACATTCTTTAATCTTTAGAGATATGCGCAAGGAAATTACGAAAGAAACTGCAAAAAAACATCTCTGAGATCAAAAAATGTGGTTAAAAGACGAAAAATAAAGAAATATATTGTCATATGAAAAAAGTTTGTATGCTAAAATTAGAAGCACTAATGAAATAAGGCGGTGTAGAAAGATGGCAAAATCAATGACTTTAATTTGGGGTACATCAAAAACCTGTATGAATCAATAAGCGGCTTAAAGTAAGATAGTTATAACCAGAGCGTATGTGGTGACCTACTTTGGTAGCAAGCGTGAAAATGAACGCTGTGGAAACTGCAAAGCCTATCGATGGTTGCCTAATAATATACTCAGGTACAACATTAAGAAATGTGCTGGAAAACACAAAAAGGAGTTATCAGTCGATCACTTACTTGGATTAGGATTGAAAAACTCGAAATACAAGTAAACACGGATTTGATGACGAATCGTCTATAATTTTCCTGATCATTTATATCCCGATCTTTTTTTCACAGCCTTTTTATCAATTACTCATTCTCTTCTAATTTTCTCAGTGCAAACTTAAATGCATATTCTTTTCTCATCTATAAAAGAAAGAACCGTTACATGTTCTCTTTCCTTTTCAATAACCTATCCTTTTCTTCACATATTACAATTTCTCTCCCATTCAGCCTTTTTTGGATCTTTCCCACATATTTAGCCTTTTTTCATTTTTCTCCCCTTTCTGCGTGTCATCCAAAACAAATCAATCCTAGAAGCAAAACAATAGTAATTCTAAAAGTCACACGATCACATCAATATACACAATTATATGTGTGATTAAAACTTCAAACAATCATCTGAAGATCATCGTACCAGGAATGGGATGACAACTTCAACTCTCTAAATCATTTTCATCCTTCTAATTTTCAATTTTTGTATTGTTATAAATATTTATGTCTTCCTAATTTTTTCTTTTTCTATAGAGAAAATCCACTCACTTTTTTGCTCATTCTCTCTTCAACAATCTTTTTTTTCAACACATCTTGTTGCATTTTTTAATCTGCTCTTGATCTTTCTTATTACTTAGTTTTTTATTCTTTTGTATTTTTCTTCGTATTTCTGTCCTTTTTCATGTCATTCTATTTAATTTAAGAATCTTATGAAAACAAAGCAAATCATAAAAACACACAGCTCGCTAAGCGATAACCAAACCAAAGTATCGTTACTATTTGATATTCTTATTTCCTATGTTCTACTATTCTTATTTTCTTATGGGTTAATATCACTCGCATGACTCCCGTAACAGCAGTTTACTTACACTTATATTTCTCTACATCTTCTGCTTATTTATTTACATTAGTAACAGTAGCAATGAATACAAACATCTATTTTTACAACTGCAAAA